TGATATTTTCGTATTCTTAAAACTTGTAAAAAATATCAGAAAGCTATCAGAAATTGCCAGATCATTGCTAGATCTAGTTGTTTCCGATAGCTGACCATTATTGCTGAGCATTATTTCAAGAATTATTTTACACTTTTATGTGATTGGACAGATATCTTACTTTGTGATATTTTTTACAAGTTTTAACCAAGCCTTAAGATTTTGGCTGAATATAAATCCAAAAATAATTTTATTCAATCGTATGTAAGATATTGATGTAGATGATAATGATATTCAAAAAATTTGGAATGTTCTTGCAACTAATTCGAACGTCCTATTACATTCATTATTTTGATGGCTTGACAAAATTGTTTTCAAATTCATATTTGCTTCGTATATTTTTAGATATTTTAGCAAAACTATTCCTTTCATATAATGTAACACTGCACTTAAAAAAATGTGAGAAGCAGAGAGTTGATATCAGGAAAGATCATTTTTTTAGAAAGAGATATAGCTCTACCAGTAATTTTAAATCAAGAATTTCCGCATTTCTTCTTAAATGAGGTTAGGTTTACATGATGAAAATAAATAAAAGATTTACGATAGGTTTTTTTTTCTTTTCTTATATCTTCTCGCAAAGTGTCACGTGTAGCTTATTTCTGGTAATTACACGTCTATACGCATAAACGAGCCGGTGACGTTCACGACACGTGCATTATTTCGCATGGCGAAAGAGAAATCCTTCATATAGACCAGCTGTCCATCTGTTGCCCGAACGGACAGACGAAATTAATACGATCGGCCATTTTCCCGGGGCTGCTATATAATATGAAAAAGCGGGGATGCCGCCCCCCGTTATCCGCTCACGTTAACGGCTCTATCGATCTCATTAACTGCCTGGGCACTCGCGATTTATTTTTATCGAAGGATATAGAGTATATATCCCGAAGTCGCCGTTTTCATCCGGGCAAAAGTGGTACAAATCGGGAGCATCGCGAACGAGGTGGAAAAACTGGGCCAATCCCCGGAGGGGAAGAAGCTAGGATGGGATATCCCGGGGGAATCTCGACGGGGACGAGGACAGAGTATGACAAAAGACGTGAGGACGAGGGAAGGATTTAATAAATTTCTCCGAAGGAGTCCACTAAGTGGGGTAAATCATACGGCTATTGGCCATTTGGAAGGTAATACTTTGTTTTTCTTGTTGTGCAATTATCGAACGATGTTCTTCGTCCCGTGAAATTCGCGAGCGTACGATAATTACGTTTCATTATTAATATTTGGATATTGAGAAAATGTGAAATACAAACTAAAACTGCAAATTTCAAATTAAAAATAAGCGAAGATAGATTGTTTAAATTTGAAATTATCACGAATTCGCATTTTTTTTCTTTTTTTCTTTTTTTTAATTCCGTATTAAGTAGGAATGTCAGAAGAGAGACCATTCATGAAAATTCATTGGACTTTTTGAAAAGCGGTTTACTTTTACACGAAAATGTAAATTATGAAACTTTTCTCACAGACAATTTAATAATAACGTTAAAGACCTCCATAATCATATTTTCACAACCAAAAATCATTTTCAGTCAATAAAAAACATTCAAAGAGAAAAGAGAAAAGAATTAGATTATACGCTGTTTAAAAAAAAAAAAAAGACTTCAAATCTGCTCGAAAGCAATAGACTGCCACTCAAAACAAAACGTGTTTTCTCTAATAAAAAGCGCCGAAACTGCGATTCCATTTATTTAACAGTATCAATACTGTCCTAAAAAAAGAAAGGGTCGGGAAAAGAATCACAATCAAATGGGCCTAACAGAGGTGGCGGAGGGTGCAACCGGCGGATTGCTCGTTGTGGCAATCGACTGCCTACGCGAACGGATTCCGCAAATAGCGACATTGCCCAAACAAAAACGACGCGCCAATCAATCTGTCGCGTGGTATATGCGTGGCCTGAATAAGAAAGCGAGCGATTTGCGCAAATTACACGAAGAGCGATCGGTTACTCAGTCGAAAAAGAAGGTAGTGAAAACGGCACACCTGTCGAACATAATCCTGATAATAACTTTTTCCCAAGAGCTCTTTAAAGCGCTCGTTATAATCGTGTGCCAGCAACAGTTGATGAATTTTCGATGTCTCTTTACCAAGAGAAAGTCGACTGTAAA